ATTCGTGCTCTTTGATCCAGTATTTCCACTTCCAAGACTATTACTTAACCAGATCATCAGAGGCAGGGACAAAGAATGTTATGCACAAAGATATTCATTGCAGTATTACTTATAATCAGAAACTATGACATATTCATAAATAGTAAAGTGTAAAGTCAAGTATGGCACATTATACATCAACTGTTATGCTATGATTTAAAATAACATTTTAAAAGAACTTTGCAGGGACTGGGCAAGGAATATAGTCATAAACAAGACAGACACACTGCCTGCCTCTTGGAGCCGACATTCTTCTGGGGAAGACAGACAATAAACAAGTGGACAAATGAGATTATCTCAGATTGTGACAAGTAGGCTGAAGGAAGATGGGATAATGTGGTAGAAGATCATGGGTGGGTTGGGAGGGCTGTTCAGGTGGGGGATACAAGGAGAGCCTGTCCTAGGAGTTGACATTTAAAGTGAGATTTGATAGATGAGAGGGAGCCAATAAAATGAACAGCCAGGAGAAGATCTTCCAGGCAGAGGGAATAAGAATTAACAAGATGCCAGAGTTGTGGAGCTTGGCTGTGTGACGGATGTGATGGAAGATATGTGACTGGAGCAGGATAAGCCAGGGGGAAGTTGTAAGTTGAGGAAGCTGGAGAAGTGAGCAGAGCCAGATCCTTCAGGCCCCGTAGGCTGTGGGTGGATTTTGGGTTTTGTTCTGAGGGCACAGTGTTAGAGTGGCTGGAGGGGGGTTCTGATATCAGTAAGATGGCAGAATAGGAGTCCCCACCCTCATTCCCCACAGAAACACTGATCTGACAACCATCTACAGACAAAAATACCTTTGTGAGAGCTCCAGAGTCCAGTTGAGAGGTTCCAGCACCCCAGTGGACCACAGAATCCAAGATTGGTCACATTGAAAAGGGTAACAAGAGCAGTTTCACTTGGCTCACATCACCCCTCCCTGAGGCTGACAAAAGTCAGAGCCAAGAGAGATCCTCTAGCCTGCTTCTTTCATAGCAGAAAGAGCAAGTGAGGGTTTGGCTCCCCACCCTTTTGGGGCAATGTCCAAAAGGCCTGCTTGTGTTGATGCACCTAGAACACTGAGCGAATCACCATGGCTAGATCTTCTTGGAGCAGCTAAGAACAAAGAAAAGTACAGAGACTCATAGCAACCAGAGCTTGTGCCCCAAAACCACAATGCCCCACAGATGGTGCCCCGCACACTCCCACAGATGGCACATGCATCACAGTAGCCAGCAGGGATCTCAGCAACCAACTTGACTCTGCAGATTTGGAGAAGGCCACAACCCTGAGACTGTTCTCTCAGGAGGGAGGGACAGAAGTGGAACTTGTGCCCATTGTACTGGCATCTCAGTGCACTGCCCTAGGGAAAAGGGATGGGTGACTCTCAGCTCTTGACATGGCTCTTGTGGGATAGGGAACAGGCATACAGTCCTAAGACTACCCCTCACCCCCTAGAGGGAGTTAGAAGAGTGGAGTGGGCACATCTATAGAAAAGCTTTGAGAGATCCCCAGAACCTCTAACCAGGCTGCCTGGTGAAGGTCTTTCCCTCCTGAAGCCAGTCCATAAAGTCTAGACAAGGTCACTACTTCTTCAAACGTGCAGACACCAACACAGGCTACAAGGATCACAGAGAATCAGGGAAACATGATACCACCAAAGGAACAAAATAAAGCTCCAGAATCTGACCCCAAAGAAATAGAGATCTACAGATTGCCCGACAAAAAATTCTAAGCAGTCATTTTAAACAAGCTCAGTGAGCTACAAGAGCATGCAGATAGAGAATTAAACAAACGCATTCTGGAGCTAAAGAATACAATGACTGAACTGAAAAATTCAGTAGAGAGCTTCAGCATCAGACTTGATCAAACAGAAGGATGAATCAGTAAACTCAAGGACAGGTTATTTGAAATTATATAGTCAGGAGCAAAAAGAAAAAGGAATGAAAAAAATGAAGAAAGACTATAAGACTTATGGGACATCATAAAGAAAACCAATATAACATAATGGGTGTTTCAGGAGGAGAAGAAAAAGAGAAAGGGGCAGAAAGTATACTTAAAGAAATAATAGCTGAAAACTTTGCAAAACCTGGGAGAGAAATGGACATCCGGGTTCATGAAGCCCAAAAGACCCCAAATAAGTTGAACTTAAAAAGGGTCCACACCAAGACACATTAATTAAATTGTCAAAATTCAAAGAGAAATAGAGCATTTGGAAAACAGCAAGAGAAGAATGACTGATCACATACAAGGGAACCCTATAAGATTATCAGCATACTTTTCAAGAGAAACCTTGAAGGTCAGGAAAGAGTAGGATGATATATTTAAGGTGCTGAAAGAAAAAAATCTACCAACCAAGAATAGTATACCTGGCAAAACTTTTAAAAAGAAGGAGAGAGAGGGGCTGGCCCCGTGGCCGAGTGGTTAAGTTCACGCGCTCCGCAGCAGGCGGCCCAGTGTTTCGTTAGTTCGAATCCTGGGCGCGGACATGGCACTGCTCATCAGACCACGCTGAGGCAGCGTCCCATATGCCACAACTAGAAGAACCCACAATGAAGAATACACAACTATGTACCAGGGGGCTTTGGGGAGAAAGAGGAAAAAATAAAAATAATTAAAAAAAATTTAAAAAAATAATAAAAAAAAAAAAAGAAGGAGAGAGAAAGACTTTCCCAGAGAAACAAAAATTAAGGGGTTTGTTACCACTACACCTGTCTTATGAAAAGTGCTTCAAGTTGAAATGAAAGGATACTAAATAGCAACACAAAAGCATATGAAAGTAGGGGGCTGGCCCCATGGCCGAGTGGTTAGGTTCGCGCGCTCCACTGCAGGCGGCCTAGTGTTTCGTTGGTTCGTATCCTGGGCGCAGACATGACACTGCTCATCAGACCACGCTGAGGCAGCGTCCCACATGCCACAACTGGAGGGACCCACAGCGAAGAATATACAACTATGTATGGGGGGCTTTGGGGAGAAAAAGGAAAAAATAAAATCTTTAAAAAAAAAATTTAAAAAAAAAAAAAAGCATATGAAAGTATAAATCTTACTGGTAAAGGTAAATACATAGACAAATATAAAACAATGTAATACTGTAATGGTGGTGCATAAATCACTTTTAACCCTGGTATAAAAGTTGAAAGACGAAAGTATTAGGAATAACTATAACTAAAAAAACCCTAGTAATTGATGCACAATATAAAAAATGTGAATTGTGACATCAATAACATAAAATGTGTGCTCAGGACCAGATGTCTTCACAAGTGAATTTTACCAAACCATTAAAGAAGAACTAATACCCATCCCTGATAAACTCTTCAAAAGAAATAGAAGAAGGGACACTTCTGAACTCATTTATGAGGCAAGCATTACCCTGACACCAAGGCCAGACAAAAAATTAAAAATAGAGCTACCAAATGATCAGCAATCCCACTCTGGGTATATACCCAATGGAATTGAAATCAAGATCTCAAAGAGATGTCTACACTCCCATGTTCACTGGGCATTATTCACAAGAGCCAAGACTTGGAAGCAACCTAAATGTGTATCAACTGATGACTGGATAAAGAAAATGTGGTATACACACACAGTGGATTATTCAGCCTTGAAAAAGAAGGAAGTCCTGCCATTTGCAACAACTTGGATGAATCTGGAGGACGTTAATTTAAGTGAAATAAGCCAGACATAGAAGGACAAATACTACATAATACCACTTACATGAGGAATCTGAACTAGTCAAACTCATGGAAGAAGAGAGTAGAATTGTGGTTGCCAGGGCCTGAGGAAAGGGGAAATGGAGAGGTATCAGTCAAAGGGTACAGTCTCTGTTACTCAAGATGAGTAAGTCCTAGAGATCTATTGTATAACAGAGCACCTCTGGTTAATAGTGCTGGATTGTGTACCTAAAACTTCGCTCAGAGGGTAAATCTTACAGATGACTTCTACTTGTTTTTCTTAAGCTTTCCTGTATTTTTTTCACACAAGACAAATAGAGGTGACTTCAGGATCTGAATTTGTGTCAGTCACAGTGATTAGTTGCAAACAACAGAATCCACTCTTTCTGGTTTGAGCAGAGGGGAATTTATTCATGGGTGTTAGGACTGAGATTTCAGGACTACCAGGGGACCAAGCTTGGATGCCCCATGGCCAGAGACAACACTAACAATCACCTGGACAGTCACTAACCCCTCCCTAGACTGTTGCCCTGGAAACACCACTGCCTGTGATGCTCAGGCCCAGACACTGGAACATGCTGCTGTGGGAGAACCAGACCCCTCTGTTCCCTGCCAGCCAGGAGCCCCATCCTCCCCCACCTTGGGTTGCTCACTTCCACCTTTTAAATCTGGGCAGGCATCTATCCAGAGGAACTGAGGCCACTGGCAGGACCCTAGCTGCAAAGGAGTCAGGGAAATGTAGATTTCAGCTTTTCCAGAGACTCACATGCAGTCAAGCATAGAAGGAGGGATTGACACACATATTGAATGAGTCAACTTGCAGGGTTCACCAGAGAAGTGAAATAAGAGTGACAAAAATGATCTCTTGCACCCTTGACCTTCCGAAGGCCACATGCAGGCTCAGTTATCCATTGTGTTACAATAAGGACAGCAGGAGGCTCTCTTAGTCCCGGGAGCACTAGCTATCAGAGCCCCTTGCCCTAGCCTCCTCAGTACATGCTGGCCTGACTTCCAGCTGCCAGCACTTCTCTGCCTGGGGACTTTCTTTACGGCTGGAGATTCCTTGGACCCCTGTGTGACAGGCTGAAGTGTGGGGTCTTGCTGTCCCCAGGAGCTGCTCAACCTTTGGGTGGGAGAGCTCTGAGTGGCATGCTCTGCACTGGCTGCCAGGGCTCTCTGGTGGACCCAGCTTCTGTTGCCCAAAGTAGTGGGTGTCCAGACTGGGGGGCCCCCACAGTGGTGGGTCCCTTGATAGTAGCTATTACTAGCCACCATCTCTTCCTTCTCTCACTTCCCGACCCTCCTGCCTTTGCCTTCCAGATAAACTCCTTGCTCCAGCATCCTTCTCTCCAGTTCTGCATCTGGCACTACACAAGCTAAGGCGTCCATGGCCTAAGCATGTGCACATGTAAAGCCTCGTCCTGGCTCTGGAAGACCTGCTGGGGACAGTCTCCTGCGCCATGAATTAACAAGTGTGAAGCTGCTTCTGTGACCTCGCATCTGTTTACTCCAGTTTGGAAAGTCATCCTGTTCCTGGGTCTCATCCTCCTGGGCAGAAAACCAAAGGGCTCCAGGACACTCTCAGCTGCCCGATGCCCCACCCGTGCTGAGGCCAGGACTGCGTGTACACACAGGTGTCATCCACCCATGGGTTCTGCCTGGCCCCTCTCTCCCTCTTCTCCCCACATCATTCAGTGCTCCTTCTGCCCTGGAACTGGTGATGATACTCCATGGGGTTCAAGGGCATCCTCTGAATGTGCTGTCTTTGGTTTAAATGGGGCTTTGCTGTGTGTTACTGTTAGTATGTGAGGTTGGAGCCAGCTTTCTCATGGGTTCACACAACAAACAGTCTCCTGGAGCCTACTCTACTTGTTGCACGAGAATGCTGGCTCTGGTACATGGGGATGCATCATCTGTGACAGATGTCAGCTGCCCTCCTCACACTGTAGGTCTGCCCTTGAGCAGTCGTCCAGCAGCCTAGCAGCAGGGAGCTCACATCCTCATATTACACCTTCAGGCAGGTGGTGAGAGGAGGAGCTTTATTGATCAACTACTCCATGCCAGGCACGTGCCTTGCCTCTTTACAACATTCTTGGGGGCTAATTGTTACTATCATTCCCAATCCACAGATGAGGAAACCAAGGCTCCTACAGGTTGAGTGATTTCTGAGGTCGCTTAGGGCTGGGGCTGAGGCTGGGAAGGTCTGACTCAGGGTCTTGCTTGTTCCCTGGCATGTTCCAACCTCTCAGACACAGGACATCCCAGAACCATGGGGCTCCTGGTTTGCTGCCTTGCTGCACCTCAGCCATTTATCAAGGGGCCTCTGTGTTGTCTTGGCACTGGGAACCCTACAAATCCCTTGTCGTTATGGAGGTTTCCTCCTAACAAGGAAGACAGAGACAGTAAACAGACATGAGACGGTTTCAGGGGGCCGAGAGTGAAGGCTACCACGCAGGGGATGGTGGAGAGGCTCTGAGGAGGAGACTGTCTATTGCTGTGTGACAAACGACACCAACGCTTAGAGCCTACAGCACCAAATGTTTGTTGTCTTGGTCTCTGTGGGTCAGGAGACCAGGAGCAGCAAGGCTGGGTGGCTCTGACTCAGGGCTCTCATGAGGTCACAGTCAGAATGTCGGCTCGGGCCATATTGTCCCAGGGCTGGGAAATCCACCTGTAAGCTCACGTGTGTGGCTGGTGACTGGTGAGGACCTGATGCCTCACCACATGGACCTCTCCACAGGGCCGCTCACAGGCGGGGCAACTGGCTTCCCAGGGGGAAAGAAGGAGATGGAGATTAAGATTGAGGTACACACACACACACACTCACGCATGCACCGCCCCTGCCTGCTTTCCTTCTGCACAGCTGTGATGAAATGGAAAACAGAACAAGGAAGAAGCACCCTCTCCCGCTGCTCCTGGACCATCCTTCCTCACCATCTGTGGCTTGCTTTCCTTCTGACTTCCTGAGAATGGCTTTGGAGAGTCATCCAGCTGACAGAGGGTTGTCTGCACCTTGTCCCTGTCCCCTGAGGCAAGAAGACAGCACAAGTTTCCGCTGGCCATTCTGGTCTTCTGTCACCTGCCAGTACAGGGGTCAATGTGGCAGGCACTGATGGCCAATTGAACTTTCTGGACAGGGAATCCAATGTCCTAGAACATTTAGGGTTTACGTTTAGCCAGCTGGAACACGCATTGCTGGAAACTACTTGCTTTGGGTCTTATTTGCTGCTGGCAAGAGCACAGGGGAGATTGGGCGCTGCCAGGGGAGGCCAGGTGGTCCACCTGTGACAACAGGCCTGAATGTTCATGGAGAAAAGTGTGAGCTCTCTCCCCTTTTTTAAAATAATAACCCATCGCTTTGGTGAACGATTGCTCATTTTTCCATTTAAAAGTTGTGACTTCTACACTCAGAAGATGCACACAAAATACTTATGCATTCATTTGGATGTGTGTGTGTGTGTGTGTGTGTGTGTGTATACAGTTTAAAGATTCATGTAGTGTAGACATCTGTATTCACTACCCAAGTCAGTAAATGAGACATTTCCAGCAGCCCAGAAGCACTCGTGTCCCTCCTGACACCAACCCCTCTCCCTGGAGTGACTGGTGCCCTGACTTTTGTGACAGTCTTGGCCTCATAGTCTCACTCCCCATTGGGCACCACTCAGCTGAGGTGTTGCATTTTGCCCATTTTTCTTCATTCACCTGGATTGTGGTGTGTGCCCTCTTTGGGGACTGGCTGCCTGGGCAACTCACTCCACTTCTGGGGGTGGCCAGGGCATATGCATTCCCGTGGCTGTTTAGCGTCCCTTGTGTGGATGGGCCACATTCATCCATTCTCCTGTTGAGACACACTGGGCCCATTCCAGCTCGGGGCTCCAGGAGCACACTGCCCCAGGCCGTGTCCCACGCTTCACTGGCATTTAGACTTAGGAGTAGAACTTCTGTGTCAAAAGGTTTTCTGACCTTCCTGGGCAGTGCCGCTGTCTTTTCTAAAATGAAGCACTTATGTGTGCAGGTCCTGTGCTGAGCTCAGGGAGGGGCAGCTGCCTTCCAGAAATCTCAGCTGCAGACCGGCCTGTGCTGTGGGAGGGTCAGGATGCTCAGAGAGGGATGAACAGGGAGGGAGGCCTGGCCAAGTGTGTGGAGGGCTGTCAGCGATGCCCCCTGCATTAGAAACACAGTTGCTGAGAGTGACCAATGGCAGGCATTAACTACCTGGAGTGTTCCAGGCAGGAGAAGGAGTGTGCAGGGCCTTTGAGGCTGGAGGTGATCCATCTGCTCAGCTGCCACAACACAGTGCCACAGACTGGGCTGCACAAACAACAGAAATTCATTTTCCCACTTATGGAGGCTGCAGGTCCCAGATCAATGTCTGACAGGGTGCGTTGCTGGTGGGACCTCTTCCTAGCTGGTACCTCCCCTAGTCCTCACATGGCGGAGAGAGAGCTCCCGTGTCTCTTCCTCTTTAAGGCACTAGTCCTACTGAGTTAGGGCCCCACACTTACAGCCTAATTTAGCCTTTAGCACCTCCTCACAGGCCCCATCTCCAGATAGGGCCACACTGGGAGCTTAGGGCTTCAACATATGAATTCGGGGGAACACAAACATTCAGTCTGTAGTGGGGTGAGGGGAATTTGAAGAACTGGAGCATGCATGGAGCAAGGGATGAGGTAGTGTTTTGGTTATCTATCATTGTGTAACAAAACACCCCTAACTTAGTGGTTTAAAACGAGAATCATCATTTACTCAAGACTTCACAGTTGGGGAGGGCCTAGGGGCACAACTCTTCACTTCCCTACGTGACATCAGCTGAGGTCTTGCTCACAATGGCTGGCAAGTTGATGCTGACTGACAGCTGGGAGCTCAGGGTAGGGCTGATGGCCAGGGGCCTCAGTCCTCTTCCGTGTGGCTGGCCGTGTGGGCTTCCTCACAGTGTGGTGGCTGGTTTCCAAGAGTGAGAAAGGAAAAGTTGCCAGTACTTTTAAAAGTTGGGCCTGAACCTGGCAGGAGTGTCATTTCTGCCATCATGGAAGTCACAGAGTCCAGGTACAGCTACTGGCTGTTCATTTGACAGACCTAATCTTTTTTTTTTTTTTTTTACTATTTAAAACTTTTTGGTGGGAAGATTAGCCCTGAGCTAACATCTGCTGCCAATCCCCCTCTATTTGCTGAGGAAGACTGGCCCTGAGCTAACATCTGGGCCCTTCTTCCTCTACTATATATGTGGGACGCCTGCCACAGCATGGCTTGCCAAGCAGTGCCATGTCCGAACCTGGGATCTGACCGCGTGAACCCTGGGCCGCCAAAGCGGAATGTGCAAACTTAACCGCTGCACCAGCAGGCTGGCCCTTCATCTTTTTTTTTTTTTTTTAATAAAAATGATATATATTTAAGGTGTACAACATCTGTTGGCATACACATACATAGTGAAATAGTTGCGGGCAATAAAGCTAATTAACATGTCCATCTCCTTACATTGTTGTCTCTATTTTTCATGCTGCAAGCACCTGAAGTCTATTCTTGGCAAATTTCCAGTTTATGAAATGGCATTGTTAACTATAATCATCGTGCTGCACATTAGATCTCTAGACTATTTATCCTACCTAACTGCAGCTATGTGCCCTTTGACCACACTCTCCTCATTTCCCCCCCACCTGGCCCCTGCTGACCACACAGACCTTGTCTTGGCCACATGCTGCAGGCAACGCACCCCCTTTTATGTTGGGCATCACTTCCTGGGCTATATATCTTCTTGTCCTTAAAGCACATATTGGCCAGCTCTTTCCCCAAGCCAACACAACCCCAAGTATTTAAGACACAGGGCGGGAGCACACCAAAGCTGTAAACATCAAGGCCAGCTGTCCCAAATGCTCATGAGTCTGTGGCTCATTCCTCTGTGGCCAGTGCATAGGACTCTCCATGGCTGGAGTTGCAATCGAGTGTGTGCTTTTTTCTGGAGCAAGGTCCACAGCTTTGGTCAGATTCTCTGATGGGGCTCTTACCCAGACATCAGGTGCCATGATCATGACCATGGATCTGATCTGACTCCAGCTCTTTAGCGTGGCTGTGAGAGGAGAGTGGTTTGTTCAGCCTCTCTGAGACTACCTCAGAGAAGCCGTGGTTTATCATGTGCCCTACTCACCACCTGCCACTTAGCAAGAGTCCAGTAGTGCATGCATCCAAATTCACTTATCTTGTGCTTTGTTTTTTCAGCTTTTTCTTGTGGAAAATTTCAGATATTCATAAAAGTAGGCAAAACAGTATAATGACCACCCCCTCCCCATGTGCACAACTTCAACAGTTATCAGCTTATAGCTAATCTCATGTCATCTATGCCCCTTCATCCTTCCCCCTTTCATATCTTTTTTCAAATTTTTTATAGAATAGCACACACACTGAAAAATGCTTGTGTCCTAAGTGTGTGGCAGGGTGCGTTTTCACACTGTGTGCTCACCTGGTAAAGATTCTGGTATGCAATTCTGGCATGTGTTTAGGGGGCAAGTGTTCCCACACCATTAAGCAATTCTCTGACACCTGACAATTCAACTCAATTCTGACACTCTCTGCTAGAAACAGAATCAGATTCCACAGGTTGAGGGCTCAGTCCCACAAGAGTGCTGCCACTTCAGATACCAATTGCAAGCCCAGGTTGTCACCTGTGCTTCTGACTAACGGGATATAAATCAGAGGTTGGCATGACCCCCTCTTTGGATTTGATTAATTTGCTAGAGTGGCTCTCAGGACTCAGGAAACCAGTTTACTCACTAGATTACTGGTTTATTGCATTAGATATTAAGATACAAATCAACAGCCAGAAGAAGAGATGCATAACGTGAGGTTCCTAACAAAGGAGCTTCTGTGCTTGTGGAGTTTGGGGTCCGGCATGGTGGCACATCGAAGCATTCTAGTTCACCAACCTGGAAACTCTCTGAACCTCTTTTGGGTTTTGGGTTTTTATAGAGGCTTCATTATGTAGGCATGATTGATTAACTCATTGGCCATTGGTGTATTGATTCAACCTCCGGCCCCCTCCCCTCCCAGAAATCAGGGGGTGGGACTGAAAAGTCCAACTCTCTAATCAGACTTGCTTCGTCTGGCAACCAGCCCTCATCCTTAGGTGCTTTCCAAAAGTCACGTCATTAACATAAACCCAGCTGTGGTAGAAAGAGGCTTGTTATCAATAATGAGACACCCATTTCACTTTTATGGCTCTGAAGCAGTTTTAGGAATGGAGAACAAGAGACCCAATATTATAACAAAAGATGCTCCCATTGCTCTTCTCTCTCAGGAAATTCAAAGGGCTTTGGGAGCTGTAAGCCAGGAACCATAGATGAAGACCAAATATATACAAGAAATATATTTTGGTCATCTGAATGACCAAATAATTTATTTCTCATAAGTCACAATATGGCATGTGGGTAGCCAGTACTTGGATCAGGAGCCAAATATTATCAGCACTTGCAAGCCCCCGATGGCCACCTTCCATCAGGAAGTGAGTGGAGTGGGTAGAGTTGGCAAATCTGGGTTCAACATGTGTCTTGGCACTGGCTGGTCACGTGACTGTGGCAGTTATACAGCCTCAAGGAGCCTCAGTCCCTCTTTTATGCAGTGAGGACCATGCTGGACCTGCCAGGTTGCCATGAAAATCATTAATAACATGTGTCAGGGCCCAGTCCAGGAGTGGCACTCATCATTATCGTCACTCATGTTATTTCCAAGTTCACACCTGTGGTGAGACAGAGGTGGCCTGTGGCCCTGGCAGGCGTTGTGTAGCTGTGGTGAGAGCGGTGGACAGCCAGAGCCTTCAAAACAGCTGACAACTGCTTTATGGTATCCTAGGGAGACTATCCTGCACCGCACTGTCAATTAGCTTGAAAGACAACCTGAATAACACTGTCACGGACACAGCAGACATAGCAAAGGGGCACAGGATGGCCTCCTGTGATCAGCAGAGATGGTTCAGTGGGAGAAGCCATCCCCTGGGCTTTATGTGCTGATGGGGCCATGCAGCTAGTTTGTACGATTACTGAAAAGGCGGTTTACCAAAAGAAAAGTTGGCTGACTTTAGGTTAAGTGTGTTTTTATTTATCTGGCAATAAAATACAATTTGGGATGTCCAGGGATTAGACTCCTGAATGTGCTTGCTCGAAGTCCTTTGTTGCTTCAGGCCCAGGAAGCCCAACCATGGCTTTAGCTGTCAGTGGCATGTAGTTTAACCCCAAAGTCCCTTTCCTTCTGTTTACAGAATGGGAAGGCATCACTGGTGATAGAGGCTATGTATTTCACAGTCCACGTGAAAGTTCAAGTGTGTGTGATACGATCTAATTGTCCAGTTTCTTGACATTCAGGCTTGTCTGCTTTGTAAAGCAGTGTAATTGATCTCTGGGTACTTGAAAATAGAGCTGGTAGTGAGGAAACATGCTGGAAATACCAAATAGGGGATGTGTGTGGCCAGCCGCACCACCCCCACTCATCCGTCCATTCATTCATTCAACTGCTGCCACACGGAGCCCGGGGCACAGTGTTCTGGAGCCATAGGCTGTCCCTCTTGGATTGCTCCTCACCTCCTGGGATGTTCAGATCTTGAGCAAACAATTTCAGTCAAGGTGATGGGCAGTGGAAGGGGCTGGGAAAGGAGCCCTAAAGCTTCCAGGAGGAGGTGGCTTTCAGGGTGGAGTTCCAGGTCCAAAGAATGTCAAAATGCCACCCTGGGGGCAGTCTGCTGAGGCTGGAGAGAGATCCCAGAGTAGCTGGGGACCTCATGGGTCTGCACATCTTGTGTCCTCAAGTGGGTCTCCTGTCCCGGTGGGTACCAGCATTCTAAGTATGTTCTCTCTCATTGCAGGTCTGAAAGAGACAGCTCCCTGAGTGTCAGGTATGCGTGTTGTCAGACTCTGTCCATGCATTGCATCCTGGGAGCAGG